CATATTACGTAATTAAAGATAATTAAGTCGCTGATTGAGCACACAAAAATCCCTGACACGGTTCCCTCCGTAAATGAATTCCCTTTCATGTGCTTTAAACCGCATGTTAATTGCTTGATTATTAAAAAAGTTATGCCGATTCAAAGTTAGTCCGACCCGCATCAAACGAAGTGTCATAAATCGGCTGTTCTCTCTCGGACCCCTTCGTTTCACGCTAAATAATTACATAATACACAAATATCGCACCAGAGAGGGTCACAAGTTGCGGTAACATACTCTAACAACATTTTATGACCAAGTGACATCTGACCAATTAAAAAGTTGCTGATTAATATCAGTTTATAACAGAAATTTCTTCAAATCTTAACGTGATTTACCGTCAGTCTGGTATCGGTTGCACATGTCACGTGACTTTCGGTAAAATTTGAGGCACTCGGTGGGGGGAAATGGGACGTATTTGTGCACCGCTAGCGGGGTATTTAATTGTTTCACATTTGAAGTTTATTATTATTATCATCAGCATTATTATTATATTATACCAGTGTCACTCTATCTGTGTACTCGTGTATGAAATTCCGTTAAAATATAAATTAAAATAACAAAAAAACTGAGCTTCTGACAGTCTTTTAAAGTCCATGGTAGATGTACAAATAAGAACGGAATTTATATATTTCTTCCTCCAATTGATATAAATGCTTCACATATTTTAATAGAAATAAAAGGTATCACTCGATCATTATGATCTGACCTTCTTGACTTCTATTATCATGAAAATCATCTATGCACGGCATAGAGATCCAGTTTCTACTGGGATATACAATAAATACCAAACTTTCTCCCAGGTTTATTAGTACTGTGTTCGATTTACTAGCGAACAATTTATTCAAAGCATTCACTGATAATTTATTTTATTATCTTTTTTTATTGATTCATAGAGAAATAATCATCCTTAGACAACCTAAATGGTTTAGAAATGTGTCAGGGAGACCTTACCACAAGTCATATAGGCGTTCACATAAAAAATGTTGTCTGTTTTTGTTGTTGTTTTACTTGACATTGTTAGAAAACGAGGTTGAATGTAAAGCAAGCCCTTGAATCCGTACAAAAGTCCATAAACTCAATGTAATATCTATCAGATTAACGGGACAGACAAATTATTTTCACACATTATGGATATTTTAGCAACTATATTTTTAATCAACCCCGTGGTCGTGCGATTTAATTGTCGCTATGCTTAATTATTTATGTTTCATACATTATGTTACGTACATTGGCCGACAATTTCTTATTTTATAAAAAAGGCTAACTAAAAGGTAGACGATATTCATAAAAGATGTACGGTATTTGTACGATACATGAATTACGAGTAGTATGGACCAGTATGGACGGTAATTCACGGATATATGGAACTACCGATTTCCCTCATTGATGCTCAACAGGGGGCGGAGCGTTAACGATAATTGACAGGTTACGCGATAGCAGATAAAAATAGTACAGGAACCGTTTTAAAACGTTTAAAAACACATTTTTTGGACTAACTGCTTCCAAAATTAAATCACGAATGTGTTCAGAAAAGGTTGATAAATATACTAAGCAAAAAATCTCATTTTAGGTATTTTCAGTGGTAATTGACTCCGTTGTCACCTTAATGATACTTCAATAATGTATTTAGAACATGTTAGATGTTCAAAAACTCAAGAAAGTAGGACTGGGTGTGCAGTTATGTGTCGTAAAAATAACATTTTTTTTTATATTTTCATTGGAGGTAACATGTATTTTTGATCTAATGAAATGTGCTTTTGTAAAACAGTTTGTTTTTGATTGACCGACAAAAATGTCCTACACAAACCATTCTTATACAGGATTTGTTATCGTATTTTTTTTGTTAGTTCCACTGAACAAAATGTCTGGTACAGGAATTCTTGAACAGGATTTTATATCATTTTTTTTGTTCGGTCGACCAAAAAATATGTTAATGTTAATCTTTAATTTTGATGTAAGCTTTTTTTCTATCAAATGAAATGTGGTTTTGTAAAGCATTTTTGTTCAGTCGACCGAACAAAATGTCTTTGCATAAATTCTTAAACAGGATTTTTACATTAATATTTTGTTTCGGTTGACAGATCAAAATGTCTTATACGGAAATTCCTGAACAGGATTTTTCATCTTTTTCTTTTTTTGTACAGTCGACCGAATTTTGTATATTTTTATTAGATGTAACATGATTTTATGAAATGTGTTTTTGTATAGCAGTGTTGTTGGGTCGACGAACTAAATGTCTTTATACAGGAATTCTTATACAGGATTTTTTGTTCGGTTGACCAAAAAAAAACACTTTATTTTTCTCTTTTTACTGGATGTATTTTTCCATCTAATGAAATGTGCTTGTGTATAGCATATTTGTTCGATTGACCGAACAAAACGTCTACCCCCACAGGAATTCTTTGTTCGGTTGAGCGATTATATTTTCAAATGATGTTTTAACATATTTTATTCTATGTAATGAAATGAGCATTACATGTTTGTTCAATCGGCCAATCAAAATGTTTGTTATATGTATCTTTTCAATGTATTAAATCAAATTTTAAATTAAATATAATAAAAAAGTCACTTGTTTTTCATTTATCCAACATTTCTATAAAACATTAATTTCTACACTCAAAAAAAGCCTCACTCGGAGGCTGCAAAAAGGAATGATTGGACAATTCCTTTTAATTTTGGAATTAGACAGTGGTAGATGTTTTATTTATTTTATCATCCTTCCTTAGATGTTATATATATGTCTCTTCCACGGTAAAAAAATAGTTCGGCAATGAAAAAAAATGTATTTACATAGTAGCCTTAGTCACGCATATCATAAATGGCAGTGTGATTTTCCCTGTAAATGTTAACATGTGTGTGCAGTTAAATTAAACAAGAACGTATCACAGTAACGCAATAAATAGATAAATAAATAAATAATCGGACTTCATTATAAGTATATAATAATCAACACATTAAAAAAATGAAGAAAAAAATCCCATTGATTTTTTTCTCCCATTGTATGAAAATGGGGTTTTAATTCCACTGGAGCACTCATGGGACACAGAAAACCCAATGGGAGAATGAAAAAAAAGGGGAGGGGAGGCGCATTTGCCCAGCGTTTAATTTGTGTACTTTCTTCATATAAACGGCCAATAATCGTCTATTCACATTTAAATTACTGTTCGATTAAACATTTTGTATTGAAACTGTATTAAATATTTTACGTGATAATTATATTTTTGTGTAATCTTCATTTGTATTTTTTTGCATTTTTTGCATGCTTTTCACTAGTTTCTGGGTGATATTTACTATTTTTTGCGTAATTTCAATAGTTTTTGTGTGGTTCCCACTAGTTATTACATGGTTTTCAATATTTTTGCGTAATTTTCACTTGTAATGTTTTGCATCGTTATCACTAGCTTTTGCGTAATTGTTACTAAAAAACGTAAATCGATATCAAAATCACAGAGGGATTTCTAAATATAAGCTAAAATCCCAGTAGATGTGCTGAGCTCCATCCCCTCTTGATCCTAAGCATTATACATGATTTAAAACAACAGAATGAGAGCATGAAAAAAGTTTAAAAATATTTTCTAAATAACAAGATAATTTTTTTAAACTGTCTACAAATTTAAATTGCACTCATGTTCACCTTTCTAATAGGTTAAAACAGAGATCTTTCATTAATAATATAAATTTAATTAGCCATGGTAATATCTCGTCATAATCAGTGACATGGGAACTGGGGTTTTTGTCCCCGTTAAATCCCTTTATTGTACTTGATGTATGTTTTTGTACCAAAACCAGTGCCGTAATACTTGTAATTTAGTATGTACTACGAAAGATTATTGTTTGTGCACTTATCTACAGAGTGAGTAATTAATATAAGTGTTATTATTCTTATTGTTATACAAAGGTAGGGACATAGAAGGGGTAACGCTTGGTTGCTAATTGGATTAAGAAACAGATGTATAGATACTCCCAATTAGGATGAACTGTATGTACAAAAGTTCTTGCACGACTATTTTTTTTAAATTATTTTCAATGTCAGATTTTAGCTAAAGTCCCATCACAATAAAAAACAGGTGAATTTTAGATGACTTATTAAACTTTATAAAGAACTTGTTTATTAATTATCTCACAACAACTGCAGATAAGGAGTTATTATGGATAGTAGCCGAGATGTTCCGATTCCACACTAATAAGACCTTGCGTAAATCAACCACCTTAGAAAAACAGATTTTGACAGTAAAATGAATACTTATTAAATGTTAACGAGACAGGTTGTACTTTTCTGAGAATATGTGCAAAAAGAGATACGCATAAAGTTAAACAGAGTATACTCAAATAGAAGATAGAGTAAGTAATATCAGTAACTTTCAAAATTGCAACATTAATACTAATTTTCAAATTATTTCCATCCCATCCCTAATACAGAAGAATTCGTGATATCCTTTGTTTGTTTGTTTGGATTTTTACGGCACGTCAACACATAACTGGTCATATCGCGCCGAATGCTATAATAGGCTTAAAATGTTAAAGCTTTGTGAATGACAATAAAATATTCCTTATTTATTTCATTTATAACAAGCGGTCTTTTAGAACGGATCTTTTTCAATACATTCCGACTAATCACACCCTCACTGCCTCACTTAAACCCACCAACACCCACTAAAACAAAATAAAATAAAATAGATAACAAATAACATGAAATAAAACAGTTTTTATAAATATAAATAAATAAATAAATATTAAATAAATAAATAATTTAAATATACTGCAATAAGATATAAAAAAAAATGTTTTTTCTTTTCCGTATTAAAATAAAGACAAAAGAGTGTACATAGTACATAGATGCTTTGCAAAATTACGAAGTCGTCAAATATTTGCTGATCAATTCAAAAACGTATATAAAGGAGCTTGTCTGGTTCATTCATTACTATTGAACGATCACTCGTATCTCTAAAACTTCCAGAATGAGGGTTATCACACTAGTGCTATTAGTTAGTTTATTGGCAACAGTTGTTACCAGTTCTTCAAGAAGTAAATCTGGATCAATGGATAAAAGCTCTAAAGAAAGATCGAGTAACGAACGTTCGGGAAACCATGAGACTAAATCAACAGGAAAAGATGATGTCGATTCAAAGTCGTCAGATGATTACACTGAAGGATCAGACAAGGTCAAAGGTTCGGAACAAAATTCTTCGACTAAATCAAAAAGTTCGAAGACATCTAACAATCACAGCGTTATGGAGGCAAAGGAATCAACAGGCTCAAAAAGTGTAGAATCAAAAACATCTAGAAAAAGTGTAGGAAAGGAATCAAGCGAGTCAAAAATGTCTGTCAAAACCTCCGGTAAAGATGATGAAGGCAATTCCAAGGAATCGAACGATGCATCCAAAAATAGTGGCGTTATTGGGGCAAAGGGATCGACAAGTTCAAAAAGTGCAGAATCAAAAACACCTGAAAATAGTTTTGGTAAAACATCAAGTGAATCGAAAATGTCTGCCAAAACCTCGGGTAAAGATGTTGAAGGCAAATCCAAGGAATCGAACGATGCATCCAAAAATAGTGGCGTTATTGGGGCAAAGGGATCGACAAGTTCAAAAAGTGCAGAATCAAAAACACCTGAAAATAGTTTTGGTAAAACATCTAGTAAATTGAAAATGTCTGCCAAAACCTCGGGTAAAGATGATAAAAATAAGTCCAAGGAATCGAACGATGTATCCGACAACAGCGGCGTTATTGGGGCTGCGGGATCTGCAAGACTTAGTGCAAAGAGTGCAGAATCAAAAACATCTGGAAATAGTGTTGGTAAAACATTAAGTAAATCAAAAATGTCTACCAAAACCTCGGGTACAGTTGATGAAAGCAAGTCCAAGAAATCTGGAGGTTCATCCAACAAAGCATCGCAAACCAAAAGTATTAAGTCCATGAAAAGCAAAAGTGAATTGAAAAGGAAAACATTTTCAAAATCCGGCGAAAACAAAATAAGTATGGAATCAGGAAACAATGACGGAACAATAAATAAGTCGATTGTAAATGAAAACAGTAAGCAATCTAAGACAGACATGGAGAAAAGCAAATCAAAGTCTTCCGAAAGTATTTACAAATCAAAGGAAACCACAAACAAGCAAATGGATAAAACTTTATCCAAAACCAAAACACTCGATAATGACGCTGAGAAGTCATCCTAAATCGTTGAAAAGTAAAAACATGAGCAAATCAAAATCATCATCCGGAAAAGACAAGA